TGAGTACTAAACTAAGTTCTCATTCACACACAAGTTTACGTTAAAAACACATGAGTTACAAAAAACAGTCGGTTATGCCTGTGAAGGTAAACAGCTGGGAAATAAATCGCATGTTTATTTTAGATCTGTGTGGCAGCAGCAATATACAGTAAATAAATCAATAAATCCACTGCTGTCTTGTCTCCTCTGAGGCTGGGACTCTAAACGGTGTACTGTGCTAGTCTGTGCAGCCAAAGACAGAATACTTAGCATGTTTTGCTCAAAATTTCGCCATGGCATTAGAGCTGGTACACTGTTGTCGCTTGCGAAATCAAAATGACGGCGCCGTGGGTGTAAACTTACAGATTAAGGGGTGGTAATATTATAATGAGATCCCTTTGCCACGTCACCAAGGGAGCGAAATCAGATGCGCTCGTTTTCTCAGAAGCTTGCAGAAAAAGGCTTCCCAAAACAAAGTTACTGGGTTAATCTTTTTCACGTTTCCTTGGTTGGTAGATGCACCGGGGACCTGATTATAGTACTTAAAACCTGGAAAAGTCAGATTTTCATGATATGTCACCTTTAAATGCTATTTCATCTAAACAAGTATGATTATATCATCCTCATTTCAGTGTTCTGCATATAATAGTTTTCAGTTACTTGCCAAACAGTTCACCCACAATCCTTGAGGAATTAACTCATTGACTGCTGTTTATTTAACGATCCAGTTAACAGTGTTCCCGCCCTCTTTTAGGAGATTGCCAGCAGTCCTATCCTCTGCATGGTGATCATCAGAGCTCCAGGGTCATGCAGTGACTGGTTAGTTGCTGGTACACAGTCAGGTTCACTCTTCATCATGGATACTGTAAACGCAGAGGTTCTGCACTGTCTGAAGAGTGTGAAGGATTCTGTGACATCGCTGTACTTTCACATTCACAGGTGATTACATGTACATTTCTGAGCTAAATGTGGAATGGCTTCTTGGATGATCTATGTTTAGATGAGAGAATAATGTTTCAATTTTTCAGACACTTTAAGAATTACCTTTTGGTCGGGACAGCAGATGGATCACTAGTCATTTATGAAGATTCAGTCTTGAAGGTATAGCTTATAGCTTTTTTTAATCATTATTTATCATTTTAATCATTATTTCAATATGTGCAGTAAATACAGTTGTACTTTGAAATAGACCATGGTTTACTGGAGAATCATCTGAGAATGTTTTTTTTTTCAATTGACTGAATTATGAACTATAATTGTTTAGCACTTTAATTTATTGCATACACTGACATTCAAAGATTTAGGATCAGTAAGATTTTTTTGGAAAGAAATTAATACTTTTTATTTAGAAAGGATGCATTAAACTGATAAAGTACATTTATAAAGATTTCTATTTCTGTTTTATTTTTGCTATTTCAAATAAATTAACATTATTTTAATGTTAATTCAATTTCTTGAATGCTCCTGATAAGTACATCTATTGTACCTTAAAATAAAGCACTGTTGTTTTATTTGTATAATATGTGTATTTATAATGTGTATCTTTGTTCTTATTTTTTAATAACAAAGATAAAATAATGACAAAGATGTTTATCTTTGCCCACTTTGGCCTAAATATCTGCCATTCTTTTTTATATTTTGTTACCTTGAAAGGCTTTGTCTTTATGATATGGAAATTAGCTGTAAAGCTCAGACAACTTGCAAAATAGTAAAAACCAACATGACAAAGAATCGTGATAAAATCATGAATCGTGATATTTCTTAAAAAAATTGTGATATGATATTTTTGCCATATCGCCCACCCCTACTTTACATGTAATGAATCTAGAATATATGAAAGTTTCACTTTTTGAAATGAGTTACAAAAGAAAAATTAACTTTTTCATGATATTCTAATTTTTTTAGATGCAAAATATTCTAATTTTTGAGATGAGAGAGATTAACTGAATTTTTTAACTTAAAATTTTAATTGTAATATTTCTTAATAGTAACTGAATTTTTTATCAAATAAATGCAGCCTAGGTGAGAATAAGACTTCCTTCATAAATATATAAAAAAAATCCCCACATTTTTTTCCAAAAATCCCCAAATGCTCTCAAGTTTGTATAAAACAGCACTGTATTATCTCAGATGTCTGACATATTTGATGTTTTATGACTATAGGTGAAGAATGGTGGTCCAGTGAAAACATTGCAGGTTGGTGATGTGAACACTCCTCTGATGTGTCTTGGTCCATTCAGTCATACTCAAGAGTGCAAAGAGCTGTGGGCTGCCTGTGGCAGCAGGGTGTTCTCACTCACAGTGGAATACGACATCTGTAGAAGCATAGACACCAAACCCAAACTGCTGTACCCGTGAGTAACGTTAACACTGCTAAAGACGAGCATAACTATATCTGTCAGTTTAAAACAAATTACCATTAGATTCCGTTTTTATTGTGGAAAACAGCTTAAACTTACTTTTTCTGCTAAAGGTAAATATGCTATATACAGGGTCATAAAATTAACAGGGACTTATCTTGACAAATTCAAGATGAGGGAGCAAAAAATGCCCTGGCTCAATTAAATACACTGGGGGAGCCTCAGGGTTCTGTGTTTGGCCCCATAGTATTCTCATTTATACAACAGGGTGTCTGCGGGTCCTTAAAAAGTCTTAAAATGTCTTAAATAACGTTCTCCTAATAAAAAGCCTTAAAATGTCTTAAATTCAGATTCGATGGGTCTTAAATATTTTTGGTCACAATACCGCTAAAATATCTTCAGTCTCACGGACTGTTCACAATCATTGGACAGACCGAAGATTTTTTTTTCTCCCCCGTGGTAGTTACTGCATCATCAGAGAGAATCGCAGTAGCACAATACAGGTCAAACTACCTTCTTAATGTTCTCAATAATAATAGTAATAAATATAGGTCGAGCTACAGCTGATCAGCCTTCTAGCTAGTTTAAAATGTTTTTTTTTTTACTTGCCCGACCAGACAAATAGCCTGATTAAAACATAAGTGACAAAAAAATAACCAGCGACGCATCGGAATGCGAGAATTCTTCTTCTAATTTTATTAGCCAACATTCAATGTAAACGGCTATTGATAATGGATAGTGTATTTCTCGTATCAAGGTCGTGCTGTTGAGGCTCGCTCTGTTTGCCTCTTTGTGAGAGACTTCAGAACAAATGAGCTTAACAGCACACATAAAGAAACTCAGAAGAAACACACTGAGGTAAAAAGTCAAAATGTTTAGTTTATTCATAACATGATATAGTTAAGTAACATACCATGACAAGTGAGTTATTTTGCTGAATATTCTCATGACGCAAAAAGCATTCAAAACCGCAACAGAGTGCACGCATGCATTACGTGAAGTCTACCCTAGTGCATTTAGAGTGCATTCTTTCACTGCATGATTCAGTCTATTAAAATACATTTACAAATTCAAGACATGGGGGCATGTATATATTTATACCACTTCTTATATAGTTAATTCATTTCATATGAAGAGTGCCGTTTTTTTCTCCAAAAATTTCCATGATTACAAATGTGATATTGTTTTTTTACAACAGTTCGATAAACTAGAAGTTAATTTAGAGACTTACGTTTTAGACACCATATTGCCTGTTTTGCACTATTTCGACAACAAAAATAATTCCAAACACAGCCAAAGCACTCTTTTGTGTCTCTGAGCAACATGACGGTGTTTCGTTCCTGAATGAATCAATCATTTAAATGATTCAGTTCATTCGCAGTGACTCACTTATTAAAGGGGTCATATGACGTTGCTAAAAATAACATTATGTTGTGTATTTGATATAATGCAATGTGTTTATGCGGTTTAAGGTTAAAAAACACATTATTTTCCACATTCTGTACATTATTGTTGCTCCTCTATGCCCCACCTTTCTGAAATGCGTAAAGTTTTACAAAGCTCATCGGTCTGAAAAGTGAGGTGTACTCTGATTGGCCAGCTGTCCAGTGTGTTGTGATTGACTGAATACCTCAAGCGTGTGATGGAAATGTTACGCCCCTTAACATACTGTGATAAAGTACCTTTTTATTATTTAAATAATTTCAAATATAAGTATTCAACGTTTTATGTTTAATATATCAAAACATTATTCATACATTTGTAAAAATAGGCCTTTGTAAAGGTAAATAAAAATATGTAGATTTAAGTATGTAAAAGCTGATAGAACACTGATGAAAATATTGCTTCAGAATAAATTGTTTACACCACCAAAATACATCTCAAATATTTTAAATGTACTGAATTGTTTCAATAGAAATGACATTAACGTGTTTTAGTTTTATATTCAGCTTACACTTTTACCATATTTTAAAAGACAATATATGTAATTATGAAATTACTTCTAAGATGCATTTAAGTCCTACTTTAGTGGGTCAAAAAGCACTCTAAAATTCAGCTAACTGCATTTAATAAAAATTGACACTATAGTACATTTTTATTTAATTGCAGTTAACATGCCGTTACGTGTCTGAAAACATCAGTCAGTTATGTTCTTGTAAAGTATATATTATTTCGTAATAAGTATTAATGGATTTTTTTCTCAAGGCATATATACAGTTTAAAGAGCTTTTGTGTGTTTCGTTCCATTACATTTTGTACAGAAATATTTATTCCTTATCTTTTGTTTATATTCTCTTGCAGACCGAAAGAATGTTATTATAGTACTGGGTAGACGGCAACGCGTGTCACAAGACCAAATCAAAACACAAGGCAAGAACGTTATAAATACATATAGATTGAATTTGAAAATATCATTTTCATTATTTTAATAATAAGACCAATTCTATGCATGACGTTCATTTTATGTGTTTCTGCATTACACGAGCCCTTCGAATGATTAATATGTATAATCCGTTGATGTTTCCTGTGTCTGTGCTCGTCTCAGCGGAGGACTCGGTGCTGAGCGTGTGGAACAGTTCACTTCCTCTGGAGGTCAGAGATCTGATCAGACACTGTGAGCTGCGGGACAAGATCACCGGCAAACTGAGAGAAACGCTCCACAACTGATCGTCCACTCGGTCTGCGCATCGTTTCCTGAGAGAGCTGAGAAACACGTAACATTACTGTTTGCAACATTTGAAGGCACGTAACTAAAAGTTCCATTGTCTACTGTCAGTAGTGCAGAATGAAGCACAGAGCTCATGTTCAGACGAAGCAGATGTCTGTTGGTCAACACGGTCAGTTTGCACAAATTCCGGGTTTCAGTCGAAGCGACTGGATTTCGCCGGTGAAGGAGCAACAGTTAATGCCACCGAACCTTTACTGTTTTGAAAAGGGACCCATGTGAAAATGCAGTCTGTTTTATATAGTCAAGGGAAACATTTCGTATGTTTGGATTATACAGAAAACCAAAATGAAAATGGCAAACACTTGAGTTAGCTTTATTATTTTATAGTATGTATTCATGATATGAAGCCATAAGAGCAGAGCAGAAAGCCATCATTTATCAAAAATCTCTCCAATACCTCTTATGCAAATGTATCATGTTTAGTTTCCGCTACGATACAATAGTCGCTACTGTTGTTAGCATCACGGGAGCACAGTGAATGAGCCGCTAGAGGTAACTAGCACCACACTTCTCTCTTAGCGGTAGCATGCTAAGCTAAGTTAGCCTGTCCTGCTACAACAGAAAGAGACTGTGTCTGTCATAAAAAAACCAAGATTATGAAATCTTGCACTTTTGAAGGAAATCCCACATTAATGCTAGTAATGCAAAATATGTCAAATTCCAGAATTGGTTTTGAGGTCTATTTATGAAGTCTCTGTGTTCATTGTTTGGAAATGAAATTATATGAGGAGTAATCCATTGCTAAATTTTGAGCAATAAGCTAATAAATGACACTACACACATTCTCTGACCTTTTGTGAATTACAATCACATTATATTTAATGATCACAATAAGCCAGTGATTAAAGACTTTTACAAAATATAACTGGAGAACAAGCCATAGATAACGATGCTATGATCATATTTTTGTTTCAAATATGACCTTTTACTGTTGTTATTTTTTTGTGGGAGTTGTGGGAATGCAAATATCATTGATGATTTATATTTGTATGTTGCATGCCAAGTATGTTTTTAATAAAGTTTTTTTTTTTTCATTTTGTATGATAACGTTCTCTCTTTTTCATCTTTTATTTCCCATTATTGTAAAAAATAGTTTGATTATGTTTAAAACCTACATAGATGAGGACTCTTAACATATGCCAAATTAAAATACTAAAATATAACTAAATGTAGAAATAATAAAAATATAATTTTTATTAAACAATGATATCATTGTTATTACTACTAAATATTAAATGTGGATATCAATTAGAGATCGCTTTTAGAAATCATATAACAAAATATATATTAATACAAATAGAATTTATATTAAGTACTACCATTGTTACAATTAAATATATGAATATTTAAACGAATGCAAGAAATGCTTTGATCGCATTAAAACAGCAGAACGAGTGCGGCGCTGTGATCTTTTCCCGCGAAAACAGAAGCGCTCCAGAAGAAGAGTCACGTGCTCCGATTTGAAGGGGGCGGAGCTTGGCTGTCCTGGATTTTTTTTTAACTCTTCACATGCTCAATGCTGTTATTTACCGAAGGTGACGGTGAATAGCCTACATTTTAAGAATAAAAAAAGCTCACTTTATATCAATGCAATGAGGTTTGCCGCTCGATGGCCCCGCCCCTTCAGCAGCGCGTGACACAAGCAGCGCTCTCTCTGGCCATGACCTGATGACAGCAGAGGTTATATCACACGGATCAACGCTAAACTTCCTCTAACGTCGCTTCTGAGAGCAGCGGACGCTGATTGCGCTCGGATCCTGCCGTTAGAGCCGCTTCAGGACGGCGGATCAGCGCTGGAGCACGCTCGGACGCGGCTCCAGAGAGTGCTGTGTGTCCGCCTGCAGGCGCAGCGGCGCATGCGCGGTCGAGCTCTACTGCATTAACCCAAACATGCGCTTCTCCGTTTGATTTTCTCCGGTTAGATAATGTGTGACAGTTGCCAGTTATATCTGGCAGCACCTTGCAACTTTATTTGTATTTTTAGTTAATTTTAGTAGCAGTAATATACTGCAATGTGTGAGTTTAATATGGACTAACTCTTATTCTCATCAGATCTGGTTTTCGGTATGTCCTGTGCATGCGGACCTGCAGCGAGGGGGATCATACAGGCTGTGCATAAAGGTGAGCGAACCATCAGCACTCAAATAAACAGCTGAAGAGCTGATATAATGCGCTCAACATTGACTCTTAACAGCAGATGAAGGCCAGCCGACAGTTTGTAGTTCCCCGCAAACGTTAGCTTTTGTCTATTCCCAGAAAATTGCACTTTTAAGATTTGTTATCCTCAACTAGGACCGTTTTAGTCTTAAAAAAATCCTCCGTGCAACGTTCTGGGAATGCTATTTCATAGTTTCACTTTGCTTTGATGCTCCCTTTAACAAATTCATTGAGCCCAATGTTTACTGTGGTGTAAAACGATGGTAAAAGAAGTGCTCTTAAAGGGATAGTTCACCCAAAAATATTACACTTTTAAGATTTGTTATCCTCAACTAGGACCGTTTTAGTCTTAAAAAAATCCTCCGTGCAACGTTCTGGGAATGCTATTTCATAGTTTCACTTTGCTTTGATGCTCCCTTTAACAAATTCATTGAGCCCAATGTTTACTGTGGTGTAAAACGATGGTAAAAGAAGTGCTCTTAAAGGGATAGTTCACCCAAAAATTTAAATGTGATGTTTATCTGCTTACCCCCGGGGCATCCACGGTGTAGGTGACTTTGTTTCTTCAGTAGAACACAAACGATGATTTTTAAGTCCAACCGTTGCAGTCTATCAGTCGTATAATGCATGGCAATGGTAACAAAATCTATGAGAGTAAAAAAAAACATGCACAGACAAATCCAAATTAAACCCTGCGGCTCGTGACGACACATTGATGTCCTAACACACGAAACCATCGGTTTGTGCCAGAAACC